AGAACATGATGGAATAAATGTAAAAAAAAAGGCGTTCCCCTTTAAGGACCAGCACCAAATACCCTATAGAATCATTCTATGATCCCTTTAAATCTCATCATAAAGACCATCTACCAGTTTTCTACTTTCCAGGAATCATCTTCCATAAATCTTTTTGTCATAAAATAAAATCCCAATAAAATAAAAGCAGGTTTGTGATTTAAAAATAAAAATCAAGTTGAGCTTTCTTCTTTTTTTTCCTTCTTAGCAGATTATATTCTTTAAGTCCCACCGGCGCGTCCCACCATGTCAGCGCGTGTTGCTGAGTGGATGACGCGCTCTGCGTCATCCATAACAAGCTTCACTTGGTCCCATTTATTCTCCCATTCAGGCTTTAAGCTTCACATTTCCAGTTAAACACCGTTTGGACTGTTTTTATACCAAGAATCTGCCGAACAGAGACAGAAAGGGAAAACAAAGACCTCCTCCTTCTCTTTTCCCAGCAGCTTTACGCGCGAGAGGAGCATGAACTTTTCTGCAGGATAACTTGATCCCCCATCATTTCTAATATCTGCCCCGGAAATGGCCAAACCTCTAGATCACATTAAGAGACCCATGAATGCGTTCATGGTTTGGTCCAGAGGGCAGAGGAGGAAGATGGCCCGGGAGAACCCCAAGATGCACAACTCGGAGATCTCCAAGAGGCTGGGCGCGGAGTGGAAGAGGCTCAGTGACTCCCAGAAGCGGCCGTTCATCGACGAGGCGAAGCGGCTGCGGGTTCAGCACATGAAGGAGCATCCGGACTACAAGTACAGACCCCGGCGCAAAGCCAGAGCGCCGCTCAGCAGGGACCGCTTTGTTTTCCCGTCTTTGCTCGGGGACGCAGCGGTTCCTCTGGACTCTTTCCTGGTGTCTGCAGATAAAGCCAGAACCCTGCTCGCCTCCTCCTCCTGCTCCTCCTCCTCCCCGTCTCCTTTCTCCCTCTGTGAGCCCTTTAACGCCGGAGTCGCCCAGCGGATCTCCGAGATGCCGCCGCCTGTGGCCGCAGGCGCGCTGCCCTACGGAGCGCACGGCTTCGGATACCAGAGCGCAGCGTTCGGGGGGCTGGCGTGCCCCGGACAGCGCGCGTCCCCGCCCAGCCCAGGGTACGTGGTTCCCTGCAGCTGCAGCGCCTGGTCCGGAGCATCCCTGCACCCTCAGGTGGCCTACATCCTCTTCCCAGGAGGGATCAGCAATAAAGGCGCATAAACTCTTCCAATGAAAACAAAACAGACTGAAGAGAGCAGATCTGTCAGAAAAGTTCAAACAACTTTTAGAGGAAGAAAAAGAAACAACTGGAGAAAAACTGCTTTACTTTGCATAAGGAAAAGTATTTTAATCCACGAAGAAATAATAATCTGGTCACCTTCAAATGTTGCTTTGGAACAAAGATATTTTAAATGAGGGGATTCTATGGAGTAAAAAGGGTTTAAAATGTTTGTAAACTTATAAATCTTAGTTAAAACTGAAAAAATAAAAGTTGAAACAGAAAAATATAAGTTGATATTGAATATCACATTTTTTCCTTATAACCTGAGAAACTAAAAAAGCAAACATAAATTAATAATTCTTCTCTTCAGCTTGAAAAAAACTCACAATTCAGCCCCACTGTGATTGACAGCTGTCAATCGCGTTTCCCCGCCCACTCCTGTCAGATTGGG